TCTCTTCGATTGAACCTGAAGGAGACTTCGATCATTCCACTTTAGCTGAAGAAGGAATGAATCATCTCACTAGGAATTCCGGAGAGTGAATCTTCTCTTTTAGATCCTGGCCTTGGTAGAGAACTTGTCTTTGATTGGGATTTCGATTGAAAAAATGTTAGGCCAGTTCCTCATGTGCCTAAGAAGCTGAGGAAATCTCGATCCCATTTTACTACTCAATCTTTATTTAGAGAAAGAGCACTCGGGAGCATAAGCAAGTTTAGTAGTTTCAACCTCTGTAATGGGAACCTCGAAGCTGTCTGAGGCAGGAGCAACCTCATATTAGGCACTGCCGCATCATCCACTGGGAGTTGGAAGGTGCACGATAGCGAAGATCAATCCATCTCACTCAATCTACAAAAAAACATTGCCTTGGGCGCATGCAACCCAAAAAAAAAGAAAGAAAGACAACTCGCTTGAAGAAAGCTCTTTTAGTTAGAGCCTGGTACAAGCCAAGCCCCTTCGATTCGGCAACAAGAGTCGGTTATAGATAGAATAGTCTTTTGGTCAGCTTTCCCGTTCTTTCAGACTTTCGAGCCCGTAGGCTTTAAAGAGGACCTGCCTGACAGAGAGGATATGAAAGTTCTCGTTGCGCTTGCTTTCACTTAGAAACTATATGACCCCTACTACTCTAATTAATAATTAAGTTACGAGACCCCTACTCTAATTAATAATTAAGTTACGAGACCCTTACTCTAATTAATAATTAAGTTAAGGCATGCTCTCGAAAAAGATACCTTCCATTCTCTTGTCTCAGGCGATTAACCTATTCCAGAGCTGTCTGGTTATTAGCCTATCTATCTCGCACTACTCGAAGTCTTCGTAAACTCATTGTACGTAGTGGAGGTTGCTGTGAGTTGATCCTTGTGCCAGTGAAGATTGCTTACAGCGATCGGGAAATCCAAAAGAGAAAAACCATTGATTGCTTTCCAACACTCCGAATAGGCAGAAAGAAGGATCTATGTTTATCCCCAACTTCCTTTCAATCCATCCACACACATCGGAAATTGAGGCTTTCTATACTTACAGGGAGGCAGCAAAGGAGGAATAATGGGCATACATACACTGGTTCGATAAGACAAGGAAAAACAACCATTACTTTTGACACTCAAGCGACGACCGACCCGCCTTGCCAAACAAACATCGATGCAAAGACCAAGACCTAGTATTACCAATTCCTTTGATTGAAGCTACTATCACTACCGAAGGAGAAGGAAACTGGCTTGCTTCTGAACCTTTACAGGAGAGAAGAGAAGAGAAGGAGACCGAATGAAAGAAATAATAGTCCAGGTAATAATGGAATCAAAGCCTATTTACAGAGTTCCATCTGGGAAGGGAAGTAGTTCAGGCAAGCAATGGAATTGCGAGAACGAGTGAAAGAAGGAAAAGGTGAAGGAGGAGTTAAGGAGAAGGGGCCATGAGCAAATCTTGATTGAATTTTCTGAGTCGAATGAATAAGGAGTATTGATCCTTGTTTACAGTTCAAGAATAGTGAAAGAAGGAGAAGGTCAAGAATGTTGAGTCTTGACTGACAGTGAACTCTCATGAATAAGGAGTGTTTACAGTCTCATTCATCTTTCTTGTCTTGCTTGAGTCTTGACTGACAGTGAACTCTGATTCATCTTTCATCTTTCCTTCCTAATTACCTATAGCCTTCAAAATAGGGTAAAGCATCAATTTTTTAATCAATGGTCCTTCAAGGATTTAGAAGAAAGAAATAGGTGTAGGAGCTTGACCTGATGATAGTTTACGAGGTTCAATAGTGATTGAGAATGCAGCTTTCGTTTCGTCTTAGTAGTTTACAGTGAAAGAATAGGAAAGAACAAGAACTTCAGGGAATATCGGTTCAGGTTCATGAGCGAAGCAGCTCGACCGATAGCGAGAGGAGCTCTCGTGTTAACCACTTCCATTCCTCTCATTAGACCATCTGTAGAACTCATAGCTCTCTAACCCGATGATTTCCTAATAATTGCTATTGCTGTACTTCACAAGTCACATTAATTTCTTGACCGGCAGTAAGTATCCTGACCTTTCACTATCAAAGCGTTGTAAATATTAGGCATCCCGGGGGAAAAGCTACATCTAGTACTGGACCAATGATTTGAGCGATACGTCCCAAGTTGTTTTTTTCAAGCGTGTCGAAACCTCAGGACCAGAAGTAGTAGGATTGATTCTCATAATCAAATCAAATATGTCGAAATTAGTGTGTTGAGAAAATTATTTCAATCTAAAATCAATGTTGGAAAAGTTGATCGGTTGAAAGAACAGCTGATGATAGGGGAGTAGCCTAAGCCTTTACACATGGGTTCTCTTTGATAGAAGCGGGGGGGATGTCGACATGACACCAAGTTCAATAACAGTATAGAGAGTTACTGACTTCCCTTTGACTAGGGCCTTCTCAAGTTCTTTTCCTATGCCCAGAGGTTTTGGGGGGGGTGAGCAACTAGCTTCTGTCCTAAGGCCATCTATTTCTAGTGCTTACGAGCCAATTGCATAGAATGGGAATGGGAATAATAAATAAGGTATTTATTCCTTTCATGCAGTCTGATTTAAGACCTTCTCCCGACAATACATATAGAATACTAGTTTTCTAGATAATATGAATAGGAAGGAGTCTCCTTTACAATTCTAAATCATAAGAAAAAGCCTCAACCTTAAACCTTTTCCTTCAAACACGAGGTAAACTGAAATTACATTGCCTGGCCGGACTATTACTAATTGAACTCGGTAACATGGAATAGAATGGGTGTTTGTTGAACTCGGTCTCTTCTCTTTTCTTTCCTTTGATGAAGCTTGAAAGACTCTGAAAATGAAAGAAAGATTTGCTCATGAACCTGAACCTTTGACTCTATTTATTACCTGAACTTGACAGGTAGAGTAAAGAAAAGAAAAGTAGAATCAGGAAGGAAAGAGGAAATCAAGCTTAATTCGAGTTTATAGTGAATAAATAGGGAGAAGGGAGAATCAACATTCCTTATTCCTTTACAGTCGAGTCAATGAAATCCTTTTCTGATATTCCCTGAACTTGACAGGTAGAGTAAATCAAAGAAAGCCTCTTTCTTCTTTTTCTATTGGTGCCGGAACTAGTTTTTAGGCCATTTGCTCTCGATGAAAGGCCAGAAGTGGAAGTGATAGATGTAGTTAGTTATCCTTGCTGTCTGTCAATACATTGCTTCTTTCTGGCCTTGGGGAGCTTGTACCTGATCTGCCCGGGAGTCCTATTCCTTCTGCCGGCGAGATAGTTCCAATTGTTGTAGTTTCTTTCTTCCCTAGTACATAATTTTTGGGAGGGATAGAGTTTGTATTTGTATTGACTATAGGCATTGACTAAATAAGCTAAGCTATACGGTCAAATAAGAAGGACTCCCCTAAAGCGTATAACAAACCAAAGAAGCCTTGCAATCTAAGAGCTTTCCATGGGGATTGAGTGTTGGAAACCCCTAGGAAGATTCCCATGTAGTCTGACGGGTTGAATACTAGATCAAAAGGCTTCCTTTTATATCAAACTCATTGTACCAGCTTTCAAAGGCTATAAGGTAGAAATGGTTTCAATGGCACCCCTCCATTGCCCTTTCCTGGGAAAGTATTCCCACCTACTAACTAGGAGGATTCCTCCCCTTTCCTTTCATGGAGACTTTCTTTTTGGGACTCGGACTATCATTGTTTGAAAGAGTTATCTACTCCCTTCTCTGAAGAATCAACATAGCAAAATCATTCCACTGAGGGGGCTTGAGGTAGTCTTATAAAATGAGGGTACCACTTTCTATTTAATAATTTAAATGTGAATAGAGAATGAACCATACATATTCTTGGAAGATCAGACAGAGCCTCGAGCCTCAAAAGAAAGGGGTTACACAAAATTGCTCTCTGATGTGCTTTCTAGGAACTCTGAGTCTGAGAACAACCCTTTTTTTCTTTGGTGAGTAAAGGCAAGCGGAACAAGACTTTGTTGAAGCACCATACTAACATACTCTCCCTTGGGTGTGCATGCTACCCACATAGCTGAAGATTAGGTCTGGTACGAGAGACAAAAAGCATGTAGAAGTTGCCTGACTCACTTAGGTTGGTGTAATTGCCGGAATCGTCTCAGAACACCCATTATTAGAAGTGGACATCCCTTGTCTCTTCACGAAGGGGGATTGGAAACTAAGCTCTCCAAAGAAAGAGGCCTTGTACGAGAAAGAGTTAGAAACCGAAATGGGCCAACCACATCCTCCACGTAAGACCGAAAGAGTGAAGTCAAACTATATATATATATATATATATCTTACCCTCTTTACCTATTGTAATCCGAATGTACATGGTTTACATCATCCCCGGTTTTTCAGTTCTAGTAGCCCTCTCTTCATTCGTAACATAACCCCATGGATTTTGAAGCACTCCACCACGAATAAGACCTAATCTTTTTTCTGACTTGCCTTTTCGATCATGATGTGAAAGTGAAACTCGCCCTGTGGTCTTCATTTTCTAAGGAACTCTCTCAATCACAACTCAAGTAGTGAACAGAATTCCAGGCCTCATCATCATCCTTTATATGTGAAGAGATGTTATAGAACTTTTTGAAGCTAGAAGTCGTACATTGTTTACCTGAGAATAAGTTCATTCCATTTCCAGAGAAATGTAGCCTTGACCTAAGGCAGAATGATATGAGTGAGTTAAGGAACTTCTTTAAAACTGACTATTGCTATTGGTAACAAACAGTCTTTAGGCCCTGACTCCGCTTATCTCTCTAGATGCTGCATTACCAATCTTAGGACTTTTTTGACAAAAGTGGGTAACTGGTAAAAGAAGAAGATGTTCTATTTTCACGAATCCAACTAACATAGTGGCAAGATCATGACTATTTAAGCCAATGAGATTATTAGCTCAGACACTATTCTATTCATAGTTGTTGATCTATTGGGTAATTAGCCTAAACATGGCATGTCTGACTGATTGACAGAAGTAAGTAGGCAAGTCTGGGACTTTCGAATAAGAACTTCTTTGTCAACTACCTGTTGTACGGATTGGATTCGCCAGATGCTCAGATTGTCTCGGTCTTCAATTAGCTACCATCAAAGCCTCCTTAGCTTTTGCAGTGCTTCGCAACAGTCATATTGAAATATAGGCTTGTGAGATCGATCTCCCACGCTGACTTTTGCTCTAGCACTATAACTAGCACGCTGACTCAAGCATATTTAGGATTCCCTGACCCTTTATTTAGATTCTTCCGTGGGACTTTCAAAAAGAGAAAACCCGGCTTACGATATTACCTGACTTATGAGATTTTCTATCCCATTGGCTGACTCATTACTGGCTTAGAGGTTAGAACGTTAGAGAGGGGATTCCTATACCATCCTTATTCTATCTTTGCTTTATTTACTGCTTACGGATACAAGACTAAGGAAGAGAACCTGGTTTTAGGGTTGGATTACTAACTCAAAGTCTGCTTACAGGATTAGCTTACTACGCTGGGTATACTGAATTAGCCGGTTTGTTAGCGGCTTAAAAGAACCTTCCTTCCTTTCTTTTTCCCGTTGGAATTCATTCCTCACTACTCCTTGCTGGTGAGCTTACTTCTACAGTACAAGGCGGGGACTTATATATTCTATATCATTTTGATCTCGCACTGATAATAGAACCAGGAGACTAGCTATAACTCTTGCGTGCTTCCCTGCTTACTCCACTTCCCTCATGTCAGCGGGATAGAGTAGGGTTGTTTGGTGTCCCAAGTTTGTACCGAGAGCGAGAAAAGAGAACTTGCTCACGCTTTCCAGGCACTGGAGCGACTCCTGTGATTACCAAAACAAAGAAAAGGAAAAGAAGACAAATGCTTTCTTCGTTCGGCCCTCATTCCCTTCCTATCCGAAAAATCTGGTTCTTCAAGGCAGGAAAGACTGAAAGAGGAGAGTCGTCTTACCCTTTCTCTTTCTAATCCCCAAAAAAATTCTAGATCCGAAGCAATTATAAGTCGATCTGCCAAACTAAACTCTCCTTAATAGAAGGGTCTCACCCCAAGCTCCTTTTAGAGCAAGGCTTTTCCGGCTTTACTGACTTAGCGGAATAATCAGCTGACGTAACTCTTTCTTGGTCAAGCTGTTTTCATCTACTTATACTTAGCTTCGGTATCGTACCCAAGAGAATCAGAATCAGAAAAAGTACCTGGACCTGGATCCAAGATCATGATATCCGGAATCGATGTTGGAGGTTGATTCGGATACCCCACCCTTATTATAGAGGAGAGTTTGGCACTTAGTTGCCCTTGGTTAGGAGGTTGACCCTCATAACATAAGGCCTTTCACTCGAAAAAAGAGGTTTTACCTATCCCACTATGTCCTTTGTTTAATACCCATTTCTAGTTTTTTTTTCAAAAGGGGCTTTGCTTGCATTCAAGACAGTTGATTCAATAAAGTTCGAAGTTACTAGAATGTATTCTTCGGGGTAGAATTTCTGAAAGTCATTCGTACCACACAAGATCAATCAAATACCGCCGGCGGATCCTGGAAATTCTTATCTAACTGGCACATCTGTCTTTTGCTCCTCTCTATATGTATGTGCTTTAGCCCTGATTGTCTACCTAATTTTTGAATACTGAAAGAGAAAGAGATTCGATTCGTCTTGCTTATGTGCTTGCTTATTGGATTGAGTGCGGGGTAGATGCTTCTGACTGAACTGCTCTTAGCTTCACCTAAGATGCTGTTTTATTCTATGGATTATAGAAGTTAACATTCTTCAGGAAACTACGATTTCGTTAGTGTTTTGGGAAAAGGGAAATGAGGCGTTAAGAAAACTAAAACAAAGCGCCCCTAAACCTCTTCTTTATGGTCTCGTGGCTTCGCCCTTAAACCTCTTCTTTATGGTCTCACAATTCCATTGCCTGAACCTATTCTAATTGAATGGACTCTCCTTCTTTCACTATAAACTCGGTCTCATCACCCCTCTCCTCTTCTCCTCGAGCAACTTGACTTATCTACCCGGATCTTACAGAAATCAGTCCCCCCTGCAACTAGATACTTGATGGTGTACAATCCTTTCTTTCCTCTTTCTAGCGCTTGAACCAGAATCCCATTTTCTTTCCAACCCCTACCCTTTCCCTTTCAGTCAAGCCTTTGTTAGCCCTTTCCTCGAGGAGTCGAGCTGCCTATCTTCTCCTCGAGCCGCACTAGCCCGGCGATATCGATCTCGACCATTCATTACTTTATTCAATTCTATTCTAACTTCTAGCTTGACTTGTCCCTAGCTAAAGAAAGATAGTTGGAGGCCGAAGACCAGAGTCTGGTTTTCACAAGATATGAAAGAGAGTCTTTGTCCTGCTATTCCCGGCAATAGCTCTTTCGAGGGAAAGTTAAAATAGAGAGAGGATCGGTGCCCGCTCTTTCCCAATCCGAACCATGGGAATAGTCCTCTTACGGGTCGGAAGGCTTCCTTCAGTGAGTGCGCCTATTCAACTGAAACTCTTGAAGATGCCGAATCAGAAGAAGCTAGAGAAAGATCAGTCTCAGCTAAAGCCGAATACGAAGACGAATCGACAGATGCATACGCAAACACCGGGGAATCTGCAGAATATGAAGTCAGTATCCGACTCCGAATCCAAAGATAGAGACGCATCTGCTCCCGAATCACCTAAAGCAGAAATCTGAATCTGATGACGCCACTTGTTGCCGTTGATGGCCGTTGCAGCAGCACCGGTGCCGGTCACATGCTTCAAAGTGGAAGAAAATGGATTGGTTCGAGTTTCTATGAGTCGACAGGAGAAGCACCGCTCAAAGGCGGCTCATTGAGCCGGTCATTTTGACCTTGTTTTATGAAAGGAGTGGACCTGACTCGAAGGAAAAACCCTCGAACCGAGGCGGTTGATGGGGAGCTTGTAGCTTATGGTGCTTCCTTCCCTGCCTACTATGTATACCTTTGATGATTTTCTTTCTTTGTTGACCCTGTTTTTCGAAGGTAGCTGAAATCCTCCTTTTTTCCAAAAGTCGATGAAAAAGTGGACGGGTATTGTTAAGTTCTTAGCTTGGCGCGTTTGCTTCCCTCTAAAGAAGCCCAACCTTAACACTTTTCAGTCTTAGGTGAGAATCACTCAATTCTTTTTGTACCGCCCTCTCTCGCAGTAGTATTTCCCTCAGCAGCATATCCAGTTTATTCCGAACATCTATCTCATTTGTCTCCTGAACCAAACCTTTTATCCCGCTCCGCCCGAATTAACATCAAATTTAAGCTAGGTCAGTCATAAGGTTATTTCCAGTCTAGTTTAGAATCAAGCAAGACCAAACAAAGCTGAACCTTAACTACGTACAAGGTACTTATGAAAGCCCTGACCATGGTGGACGCATGCACTCGCAACCCAAAAGGAAAGCGAAAGATTCTCCGCCCCTTTCTTTCTTCTGTGAAGCTGAATCGGATTATCTGCTATGCTATATTAAGCTGAATTGTTTAAGATTCCGGATTTGGAACTACAGCCTTAGCCCGGGAGGAGACTGAAGACTTTGAATTTGAACAAGAAACTACGTCCCTGCTTTAGGAAGGGCCTTAGCCTTAGCTTCAAGATCTCAGTTTGCACCAACCCGGATTTCCGTTCTCACCAGGAGCCGATTGCTGGAGAAAGCGATGGAACATGATAGTCGTTTCTTTTTCTCTCTCTCCCGATCAGGTTTCGGTTAAGTAATCTGTTTATCCATCTGGTTAGGTTTCGACCAAAGTATGGTTGGGGTTCTGCAGTTGAGGATGAGGATTTTGGGGAAAAAGATTAACAGAATTTGGGCAAAACTCTAACAGGATAGGGAGGAGGAGTATACCATTGAGGATTAGGGTTGGTTATTTACATCCGAAAGGTGAAATTGCTGTTAATACTGGTTGTTAACTACCATTGAGGATTAGGGTTGGTTATTTACATCCGAAAGGTGAAATTGTTGTAAATACTGGTTGTTAACTACATGATCGACCGTCTTTCCCGTAAACTATTATGAGTTCGAGCTTGAGGACAAAGGGATAGGATGAAGATTTGCTTTTTTCTATCACCTTTGGTGCCTCTCTACTCTAACAACTATTCATCTGCTAAGATCACGCCCAAATAGAGAAGTGAATCTAAAGGCCAAAGAGTGATCTTTGAACGCTACTACGCATCCTTAAAAAGAGTCTCGTGTAAGGTAGGTTTGGGTATAGCAGGACTTGAACCTGCGACCATTAGGTTAAAAGCCCAATGCTCTACCAACTGAGCTATACACCCCAAAAAAGAAAAATAGGTGGGAGGATTGATGCAGAAAAGAAAAGAGGGCGGCCCCTCTTCTTCTCATCATATTCAAGGGGCGCGGCTCCGTATGAGGCTCGTACTATAGAGCAAGCGAAGAAAATGTCAGGGTGCACATTAGCACTCCCGCAAGAAAATGGCCTCGCTAACCCCTTATTGATTTCAAACTCAAGGAAAGCCTTTCTCCCTCCATATGAGAAAGATGCGCTCAAGCACTCAACCTATACAAACAAGGGGCTTGGGCTCGAAAGCCGGCCTTACTCAACAAGCACCTTTATTAGTCAGGTTGCTTCTTTCTACTCATTGAAGATTCTATCCACAAAAGAAGGTCAACGGGGCATTTTAAAGTGGCTCTCACTGACACCATCTACGATAAGGTGAGGTCGTCTTTCTTTCCAGCAGCCATCCGGTTCTTAAAGCCTTAAATCAGGGAAGGGGAGGAGCTATATGTAATTAGGGTCTTTGTTGGCCGTTGTTCTGGTCGAGCACTCTCTTTTCTTTGTCAAATTCCGTATTACCAAAGAAGACTTCTGCCCAACCCGCGAAGGCTTGTGAAGTTGGACCAGGTACGAAGAATGAATCTATCTCTGTGTACGAAAGTTGCTGGCCGCTCAACTGTTCGAGCGTTTTCCTTTCTCCTATTATTAGAGTGGGGTGGTTGGTTCCGATTCGAGAAGGGTAGAATACCTGGTCGAAGGTTCAGTACAGTAGGTAGCCGGTGTTTTCGTTTTGGCTCCCGAGCTAGAACGAGAAATAGGTGATGCACCATCCTTGCTGCTACGTACCTTGACCTTGACTTGACAAATTCATCCAATGGAACCCACACTAAAAGGAGGACCACAAGCTCAGGGCTCGACGAAAGGGCAAGTATCAGCATGTTGAAACTGATTGGGGTTAGCAGTGAAAGAAAGAGTCCGACATTCATTTCTTCATTCATATTCATAGCTTAGTCTACTAAAATCAAAGGGGGACCAGCCTCATCGTGGTAATTAGAGGACATCTTTGAACGTTCACATCTAATGTGACACGTTCCCTCCCAGTTATATGATCAACGGGATCAGTCATCCAGCGGGGCTCTTTTTCTTCTGGGGAGGCAAAGTAGTCCCCTCTACTGATCGAACCCCCTTTCTCTAAGAGGTTTTCGTAAACATGTTAAAGGGCTCCTATCTTCGGTGGGTCACCTTTCCAAGATCGAACCCCCTTTTTCAAGTGCTTAGCTTCTGCTAGCGGCGCAAGGCCATAAAGTCAGTTCAGTTGGAAGCCTAAGCCAAGAAGGTACGAACAAAGTGATGGGCCCTTTTAGAGTTTGACAGATAGGGTAGGGGGGCGGCTTGATTGTGATAGTAATTTCGAACATCTCTCCCCTTTTCTCTTAGCGTGCACTGTTTGCTTGCATGCCGCTTTAGGCACATCTCTCTTTCTTAGTTTCACGCTGCTAACCTAAGTCAGTCTTTTAGTAAGCGTATAGTTGCAGCTATTTAGTGTAGAATCAATTCTTTAGTGGACGCACCGAAAGGGCGGGATAAGACAAGGCGGTGGAGGTTGGTTGAAGATGATGTTACGCGGCGTTTAGAACCAGCCTTGAAGTGAATGAATTTGAAAGAACGAAGAAGTCAGGAAATGAGACGACTCTTTCTTGCACTATATCATAAACGGATCTTCCCCTCCACACCAATCACCAGTTTTTCTCCATTCCTCTCGTATATCGTCGTAACGCCCTTAATGCTAGGTTTTGAAAAAGACTTTTCATGTCATTCCCATTTAGGTCCGATTCGGATCCCTCCGTTGTTTCCTTTTCCTCCCCACCCTTTCCTCGAAATGAGAAAGAAGATGGTACACTCGAATTGTATTATTTAAGTGCTTATTGCTTGCCAAAGATCCTACTTCTACAATTGGTAGGCCACCGGGTTATTCAAATCAGTTGTGTTTTCTCTGGTTTTCCCATGTTCAAACTTCCATACCAATTCGATCGATCCGAAATGGATCGGTTAAACATTCTATTAGGGAGCCTGGTCTTGACTCTGATGTGTGGTATTCATTCTCGTTCGGCTCTTGGAATCACATCCAGCCATGGTTGGAACAGCTCGCAAAATCCAACCACTTCACCTACTTCATTGCCCCCAACCCTTTCTTGTACCTTTATTGAAACAGAATGGTTTCATGTTCCTTCATCGATTGGTTATTCCTCCCCGTTCGTCTCTCTTTTTCCAATTGCGGTCTCGATTAGTTTACAAGATTGAATGGCTAATTTGCCTCCGGACCCTAGATTCGATTGTTTTACAAGAATGTTGAGCGGGGTATGTAAACTGTGTATCTGGGAGGAAGTGCAAATCTGGGCTTTCGCTTTTTTGCACCCTGTTTTGGTCTTGCAACTATTGAAATGAAATAATAATCTCTTTCCCACCGAATAAAGATTGAATATATGTCCAATCTCTAGTGGTGGTGAAACCAACCAAGATGTATGTCGTCCGACCCGACCTCAGACTCTTTCTTCCCGACCTATTTGACCCTCTCTGATATTTAGGTGGTATCCCGAGATAGAATTCCTAATCGGGAACAGACGAAAGAAAGATATGAACTGGGTAAATAGAAATGGAAAAGAGATGTTTCCAATTCATTCAAATCCGAAGCTTTTTCTACATCCATATGATCTACTAAAGTCGATCGGTATTGCCCATATAATGAAAGCAGATCTTGGTCTATAGAGTTCTAAGAAGGTAATAACCCCAACCTGTCCGATGCTTCTTCGGCCAAATACAATATACAAGTGGGACATGCACTATGAGCAAGCTGTGCGTAAAACCGCTGATTTTTGCTGGTTTCGCAACAACTTGGTCGAAATGGGGTTCTACTGGGAAACCAGGGATTTTTGAGTTTGCGCCATTGGTTACTGGTCGAGCCACTGGAATGGAATGAGATCAGAATCTCTGGAGATCTTTCCTCTCCACTTACTCGTAACAGGCTTTCCCTCTGTAGAAGACGGATTCCGAATGGCATAATTGTCCGATTTCTTACTAGATCTTCAAAGAAGACTTCTCCTACTCCTCCTTCTCCTTTAGGATAGGATCGTCGTTGGTCCTTCTTTCACTAATGAGATCATTAGATCACCATTTGAGAGTAGTTCGCGCGAACGCGCGAGGGACGAGACTTTCTATCGCTTGCTTTTCACTCTCAAGACAATGGTCTCTCTCTTCTATAAATAGAAAGCGAAGCAAAGTACATGGCGCTAAAGTGAAGAAAGCTCAATAAAGACAGACGAACACGATGCAGGGCATAGCATAAATGAGACCGCTGATCATTTCATAAATCATATATGCTTGACTTTGATCGATGCTTTTTGGGGGGTGACTCACCAACCGACCCAACAGTGATCGATGACAGAATGGTACGAACAAATCCAATGACTTTGATTTGGGAGTTCTCCATTTTCTTGTCTCTTTACCCCTTTTGATATCCTTCTAAATGGAAAGGGGTGCACCTCCAGATGGGCAGGGACTTTGCTAAGCTGTTCGGCCACATTCTATTCCGATTGCCTTGAGAAAAGCATCCGTTTTGTCCTTCCCTTTTCCTTTCTCTCTTCTCCGTATCCTTTTTCTTAATTACAAGGAACTTTATCCAGATTGTAGACAGAAGGTAGTTGGTAAGGGATAATGAGTGGTTGTGGTACAGGCAGGGTGAGGGGTTGAGTCGGGATTTGAATCAAAACTCTATAAAACGTCGAGAATCTAAGAGTTTTCCCTACCTGGGCGACAGTATAAAGAAGAGGGAATCCGAGAATATACGAGACTGTAAAGAAAGGAGAGGGAATCCGACCCTAGCTTCGCCCGAAGCATGCGAAGGAATGAGCCTTATCTACGAAGCAAGTTCAGTCAGCGCAGAAAGAGTCTGCAAGTGTGTAGTTGACTAGTAGTACCATTAGCCTTAACGCTCCGTATCCTTTGCGGCCGCCATTCTAATTCCTTCGCTATTGGAACTATGACTCCCGCTCCGTAAACTACGCTTGCTGCCTCCCGTGTCTCGTCTCAAGCTGTGGTATAGATGGAGTTTCCTGCGTCCCGTTACAAATCTAGACAAAGAAAGGGTAGCTAGTGCCCTTAATCGAATGACTTGAAACACTTCTCTGTAAGAAGCACTATTGGATTGGTTGCAACCACACCTACTTTTAGTCCAGTCTTGACCGACCTGGGCTTTTTAGGGATTCCCTGAAACCAGAGCATCTTGTATTTCATCAAAACTAGTTGGGCAACCCCAGAATCTCAAGCCACGTGGCGTTCCAACCCAGTTCCAACAATGAATGCAGCTTCTCCATCAACTGCAACAAAAGAATGGATTGATTAAGGTAAGGTGACAGAATGGTATCAGGAGACGAAGGAGCGAAGCAATGAATGAGACAGAGTTGCAGAGGTTCAGGAGTGAAAGAAGGTGAAGGAGAAGATCAAGAATGAATAAGAAGGAGTGTTGTATTGATCTTTTATAGTGAAAGAATAAATAGTCAAAGGAGAAGATCAAGAATGAATCTTTCGTGTTTATAGTCTCGTAAATTCATTCAATCTGGTTCAAGAGTTCAGTCTCAGTCTCTCTCTTGCCTTTAATTTCACATTACCTCATCTAAAATAGCCCAAAAAATAGGGGAAAGCATCGATTTTCTAATAAATGGTCCTTACACGAAAAAGAGTGAACGAAGTAGGAGTCTTTGTCTTTCTTTCGTCTCCCTTTGTTCTTTCACTGTAAACTCGTTCAATCAGGTTCTGGATTTCATTCATGTTTCGTCTTTCCTTCCCAGATTTCACTGTAAAGAAATGATCATTAATCTTTCGTCTTTCCTTCTTCAGTCTCATTCATCTTTCTTCTTCTTTTCTTACATACAGTTCAATCAGTCAAAGGTTTAAGGTTTCGTCTCATTCTTGTTTCAGCTTTGTTTACAGTTCTTCAAGTGATTGAGTTTACCTCGTTCAATCTGGTTCGGTCAGAAGGAGTTTACGGAATAGGTGAAAGAAGAAATAGGTGTAGGTCAGGTATAGGTGTAGGTCAGGTAATATCGGTTCCGGTTCAGGTTTTCGGTCTCTTTCACTATTAATTAATTACCTCTAGCCAAAAATAGCCCAAAATCCCGGGAAAATGTAAATTGAATTTATTTCAGCAGCTGCTGTTAGTGAAAAAGCTCTGACGAAACTTGACAGTTATATGGAGCATCAAAAGAATGAATTTTCTATGCAGCTGTTAGTGAAAAAGCTCTGACAAAACTTGACATTTATATGAAGCATCAACTAAATCATAAATGGTCTTTACAGGAGAAGGAGTCTGTCTTTGATTTCCTCTCCCTAATAGGTTTCGTCTTTCCTTCCTGTAAACTCTCATTCTTCTTTCGGCTTTCCCTTCTTCGAATAACGAACTCGAACTGAAAGGTCAGGGAATAATAGAGTCAAAGGAGCTTGACCTGATTCTCAGCCAGCTTACTTACCCAGTTTAGTTCAACCCTCCCTCGTTCAATGACCTCAAAAATAGGGAATATCGTCAAAGAGTGAAATCTGTCTCATTCATCTTTCGTATTGATCTTTGACAGTGAAGGGAGAGTCAAAGAGTGTTTGAATCATCCTCCATCCAGTTTACCTCGTTCAAGAATCAATAGGTTCAGGGAAAGTACATTAGCAGCTTTCCTGAGTGTTTGAATAAATAGGAGAATTCTTGCTTGTTTCTTACAGTCGAGTAAAAGAAAGAAAGGATCAAGATCAGTTCCAGAATAAATAGGTGAAAGAAGGAGAGAGAGTCAAAAGAGTGATAGTTTACGAGGTTCATGAGTAAGTAGCTCGAGCTCGAGGAGAAAGATCCGTTCAAGAATAATGAACAAAAGAAGAGAACGAATGAATTTCATATGCTTTACCAAGTGAAAGAATAGTATAGTTCAGGCTCCCGAGGTTCAGGAGTGAAAGAAGGCAAGGTAATGAAAAGCTGAATGAGTAAGTAGTGAGAGGAGAAGAGGATACGTTCAGTCTCATTCATCTCTCTCTTTTTGAAAGGTTCCGGAGTTCACTCTCTAGAATCTTGAGTTTCGTCTTGACTTAATAGTTAATTATCTATAGCCCAAAATAGCCAAAAAAAAAATAGGGTAAAACATCGATTTTATCCCAAAAAAAATAGACAGAAGATAGAAAAAATGAATTAATGGTCTTTACAGAAAAAGAGTGAAATAAGTCCTATTTAGCCTATTTTGAACGAATATACATGGAAAATAGACGAAAATGACCCTAAAAATAGACAGAGGATAGCATTTTATCCAAAAAAAATAGACATAAGATAGAGTTTTTTAATTAATGGTCTTTACACGAAAAAGTGGGAAATCTGGGAAAATGGACTCTTTTAGCCCCAAAAATAGGGGAAAATGGCCAAAAATACCTCAAATACCTAAAAAATATCCCAAAAAATAGACAGAGGATAGAATTTGATAATTAATGGTCCTAAAGAGTGAAATCAGTCTTGAAAATGGGTCGGCTTCTTTCTTTCGGTCTGGCTTGCTCGGGCTTCTGCCCTTTCCCCTCGGCCGGCTGGCTGGCTGAATGAGAAGAACCTTCCCCTATTGATTCAAACACAGTAAAGGAGAATGAATCTTGTCTTGCTTGAGTCTCCCTTCAGTCTTGAACAAGGGCCGAAAAAACTCTTTGACCTCAAAAATATCCCTAAAAATAGACAGAAGATAGAATTTGAAAATTCATGGTCTTTACAGGATCAGTCTAATTCATCTTGTCTTGTTGTCTTGCTTTCGTCTTTCAATTCTCTTTTCTTTCTTTTCTTTACTGTAAAGTTCAGGTCAGGTCATATCGGTTCCGGAGCAAACAGACCTACAGAAGGGAATGAGTGAGGTAATCCCACCCAGCAGCTTTACCCAGATTGAAACAGATTCCGAGCACGTCTGGTCAAAGTTTATCTTGTCTTTACCACACCTTGGCTAACAATGAATTTGATTGAGTTTTTCTCATATCCGCGGGTTCTTCCATTTGCTTTCTCCCTCATTCATAGAGGAGTAAGGTGGTATACTCTATTTATCCGCTTATTGGAACTCCTTCTAATGTTTATCTGCTTATTGGAACTCCTTCTAATGACCTATGCATTCTGTTATCATTTCCAGTTGGACGAGATTAATCCAATTTAAGGAACTCTTTCCATTTTGTTTTAGGGCTAGGAGCAGATTCAGCCTTTCTTCTTTCTTCTCGGTCTGCTTCTTTGGCTCCTGATCTTGAGCTCGCTTTTCTTGGCCTCAGGCTTGGCTTCTTCTTGGAGTCCTTGCCTTTTCGAGACTTTAGGCTCTTGCCCTTTCTT